ACGTGCAAGTCTACCTAATGTTAGCTTGCTACAAAAGCTATTTCTGCAATGATCTGACACTAGCTGGAACAGTTCCTTCTGCCTTCTGACTGATGCTCTGACGCTCTGATGAATTCACCGTCACAGCTGAGACCTGCAAACTTCTAAAGCATCAAGGCCAAGATGATGTCATCAATCTGAAGGTTCCATTTGCTGATGTCAGCGAATGCATCAGCTGACAGGAAGTAAGAATGGACCCATGCTGTTGCCTAGCAACGCAATTCTGTTTAATACATAATATTAAGAAATGTAAACGATCAAAATGCTTTATAAGTATAATGTATGTTTGTGAAAGAGACAACCAAAGGAAACTGGTGTCATGATTCTGTTCACGTCTCCTCTCTCTGTCCTTCACTTACGTGCTTTTGTTTTTTAACCTCCTCCCATTTACTTCACGGTGGGAGACAGGAGATAATAAGGGGAGAAAGGAAGCGAGCTCATTGAAAACCAACAAGATGCAGCCGTACAGTCAGCCTGGACAGTTTAGTGATTCACTGCCATCCCCTAAAAGCTGTTAAACTTGTCACTTTGTGTTTCACAAATGTAAGGCTTTGTCGCTAATGAGTTGTGGAATGATCAATCCCAGCATTAGAACTTTTACACAAAGTGAGCAATTGATTTGTTATGAATCTAATTAAAAACAGCTTCATAGTACAATTATATAACAAACAATCTGGTAATGTTAAAACCCTTTTAGTACAAGAGGGATCTTACAATAAAGAAAATATGCAAACACTGGTTTAGAGGGAAAGTGTATACAAATGCAATGTTGACCCCTTGTCCCACACTGCAGGACAGTGTCATAGACTGGACTGAATACATGTCGGTCATCTGGCTCTTCCAATTCACCTTATCCAATAAACGTCATAAATCCAAGAAAGCAAACCCATTTTAGGCTTGAGTAATTATAGACAATTATAAGCAAATAGCTGTATGGAACAGTGTTGAGCTGATAGTACAGTTATATTTAAAATGTAAGTAGGTGTTATTAAAAAGAATAATGATAAATGAAATAATAAGTAGGGGAAAAGACTACATGGCAGATCCAGATAGAGCTAATTATTGTTCTTGAGATCCTTAGTCCAGCGGAGGTCTTATGGAATGAACAGAGCTCTGTGCCCATTTCTAGAGAAACTGCGTAGGCTACACCACGAAAGAAGGCATCTGGATCTGTGGGTGGAGATTACGGGTGTTATCCTACATGATGTCATGGTCCCTGCTGCTCACAGACCTAGAGGCCACCCGCAATACCAATTCAGGCCATGGCATAAATTGTAGGTCCTTTCCTCATTACCTTTCCGTTTACTTATATGCACCACTGCCATGCTCACCTTTGCACTGGCTCCACATTTTGATCTGAACTACAAACCTGTTAAGTTCCGTGACTGTGAATCTTGCGCGCTGTTGAGGTGACAGCATCTTTCAACAGAGAGCCAAATTAACGCTGTGATGACACACATAGTCTCACAACATTAAAACATGCGAGGCACACGCAGTGGTAGCTAGTAATGAGGCTTCGTAATGTGCACTCCAGTTTTAGGAACAGGTGTTAATTGTGGTATGGAGACGGTTTCTGGTTATGACAGTGAGTGATGGCAACCAACATGTGAAGGAGAAACACGGAATGTACTCGCTGAAGAACTGTAGAAGGGTTTTTGGAATTCAGTTCTTGAAAGCATGTGGATGCAGGTTTCTTGATAAGGCTTCTGTGTTTTGCTCAAATGTCAAAGATGATTCCAAGATATTCACACCATCCAACTCCTTGTCTGGACTGCATCCTGAAATCAACCACCAACCACCTCTGAGTGAAATTGAAATCCAGCATTGTATTGTTGCACCATTTAACGTTAAAATCATAGAGAAGAACCGTGTTCCTGCTCAGAGCCTGAGAGAAGCGCTGTGTAGTCAGCACATTTAATGAGTTGGCAGTTTGGATGGATGCTTTCACAGTCACCATCGAGCATGAACAGGAGGAGGGATAGGAAAACACCCTTGTAGTGAGCTTGTGTTGGTTTTCAGGGTGTTTGAGTGACCAGTTTGTTGGCGAGGATGACAGGCTACATGGTGTTGAATCCAAAATAAATATTAACAAATGGAAGCCTGGCAAAGTTCCGCTCTCCTTCAGGTCCCTGTGAATCTAGCAGGACATTTTAGCATCATGTTCTGTGTATATTTGTACTCATTTTCAATGTTGGTAAAAATATGTTGTTTGTTTCTTTAAAAGCAGCGATGTTTTGACTTGAATACAAGGACACATTCTGGATTACGCCAAAGGGGCCTACCCTTCATGGGTGATTTGCAGAGGTTGAATCTAAGAACTTGTTTAATGAAATGCTGTATATGGATTTAAAAAATGTAAGTCAGGCTCCATTTTAGTATTTCCGATGTGTCCATTTTATCGTTATTTTATTGTTGTTCATAAAGACTAGCTCTCCATCAATATAGGAAAATGTGTCTGCATAAGATTAGGATGCATATAACTATAAAGTATTTTAATTAAAGCTTTGAAGATATCTGAAACCAAAGGGAAATCCCTTTAAAGCTGTTCACTTCTGAGGGAAGAAAGTAGAGTGTAGATGTCAAAGCGAGTCAATAAATACAGTGAGTTATCTGGGCTCCACACAAAGGGAAGGAACATCAACAGGGATTCAAGCTGTGAGTACAAGCCTTCAACAAACCTGACATCCAGCTCCCACTGGGTAACAGGCAGGGGTGACTGCACCACCACTTGTGTGCATCACCCGGGGTCACCTGCCAAAGACAGCCTCACTCCTCTGCCTCCCAAATCTGCTCCATTGTGGCCCAACACACTCCACAGACATGTGCACAGCCTGGTCTATCGGAGTCACCAGAATTTGCATGTGAGGCGCATCCACTGTCGGCTAGCATTACGGCTGATATCCCTTCTCATTGATTCCGACGTCTTCTCACATTTACATGTATTCATTAGGCAGACGCCCGGCTACCATGCCTCCTGTGCGAGTTGTCTTAGCTCGAGCTTTCTTGGAGTAATGTTCTGACTGTCTGCAACAAGGAGTAAACAACAGCATACTGGTGTCCTTCCTCATCCACAGGAATATGCTGACTGTTAAAGGAGATGTATTTATCAGAGAGAAAGAAGGAAGAGAGACACAGGTTAACCTGTTACGCTATTGGCTTCCGGTCATGCACAACAAATAACACAAATTGGTAACACATTTACCTGAATGTTAACAGTAGAGACACTACCACACTGATATACACCTGAACATCAGCAGGAGAGGACTCTATTAAAAGTAGAGGACACTAAACAACTGATATACACCGTGAACGATCAGCAGCAGGAGAGACTCTTTAAAGTAGAGACACTACATACTGATACCTGAGTATACACCTGAACTTACTCAGCAGGAAGGGACTCTTTAAAGTAGAGACACTACATACTGATATACACCTGAACATCAGCAGGAGAGGACTCTTTAAAGTAGAGACATTACATACTGATATACACCTGAACATCAGCAGGAGAGGACTCTTTAAAGTAGAGACACTACATACTGATATACACCTGAACATCAGCAGGAGAGAACTCTTTAAAGTAGAGACACTGCATACTGATATACCCTGAACATCAGCAGGAGAGGACTCTTTAAAGTAGAGACACTACACTACTGATATACACCTGAACATCAGCAGTAGAGGTGACAACGATGGGCTCGTAAGAACTCAGATGCTCGATTCTGTTGCTTTGTAATATTCTTTATTTCCAAGAATACAAAGCTTTCCAATCAAACTTCTAGGATCTACTAGGACTCTCCAGAATCTCTAGGTTCTACTAGTGTAGTGCAAGAACAGGTCTATGGACTACAGCATGGACATGACGAAAAGACAAGACGAACCAACACCAGACAAAGGGAGAGGCGGACCAAATATACACTTTAGGTAATGGGACAACAGGTGGACACAATTAGGGGCGGGAACAACCATCAGCCTAGCAGGTGCCACACGGAGAGCAAGTGCCGACACCTGGAGAGAGAGAGAGCAGAGCAATTAACATCAACAGACAGATAGACAAAACACTAAACCCTTACAGTACCCCCCCCTTTTACTGACGACTCCTGATGTCCCTGAATCCCGAGACCGTAGTCTGTCAAAATCTCTGATTAAGGGATTTGTCGACAATGAAGCTGCCCGGGATCCAGCATCTTTCCTCTAGTCCATACCCTTTCCAGTCGACCAGGAACTGTCTCCCTCTACCCCCGCTTTCTTTCTGACAGTATCTTCTTCACTGTGTAGATATACCTCCGTCGATGACCCGGGGAGGTGGAGGTGGTGTGGAGGGGGGAACCAGTCTGTTCTCTAAAACTGGTTTCAGCTTGCTGACATGGAACGTGGGGTGGACCTTGAGGGATCTTGGGAGACATAGGCGAACAGCAACAGGATTAATCACTTTAGTAATGGGAAAATGGACCAACGAACCGAGGAGCCAGTTTCCTAGAGGCGACATGCAGAGGAAAAATCCTTGGTGGACAACCACACTCGTTGACCGACCTTGTATCTAGGAGATGGACGTCGCTTTCGGTCAGCCAACCTCTTCATGCCGGTCGCACTTCTCTGCAGCATCTGGCGAACTCCCTTCCATACCCCGGCGACAGCGGCGAACCAGAGCATGTGCTGATGGTACAATAACTTCCTGCTCGAGCTCCGGGAACAATGGAGGCTGATATCCATGGACACATTGGAAAGGAGAGATTCCGGTGGCTGATGTGGGTAAGGTATTGTGTGCATACTCCACCCAAATCAGATGTTTGCTCCAGGTGGTAGGTTTCTGGGACACCAGGCATCTCAAACAGGTCTCCATTTCCTGATTCATCCTCTCCGCTTGGCCGTTTGACTGGGGATGGTATCCGGACGTTAGGCTCACAGTGGCTTGGATCAGGCGACAAAACTCCCTCCAGAAACGTGATGAAACGAATTGTGGGCCTCGGTCTGAAACCACATCGTTGGGAAACCATGGATACGAAATACATGGGAACAACATGGCCTGTGCTGTTTTCCTGGCTGTAGGCAATTTGGACATGGGGATGAGATGTACCATCTTGGAAAAAACGATCAATGACTGTGAGTACTGTGGTGTAACCTGCCGAAGGTGGAAATCCTGTCACAAAGTCCAACGCAATGTGCGACCATGGTCTGTTGGGAATGGGCAGAGGTTGAAGAAGGCCTGCTGCAGCTTGATGAGACGTCTTGTTCCTAGCACACACAGGACATGCTGCGACATATTCTGCCACATCCTTCCCCATAGCAGGCCACCAGAATCTGTGTTTCACCATAAAGAGGGTCCTCTTGGTTCCAGGATGGCAGGAAAGAACAGATGTATGGGCCCAATGAATCACTTTAGAATGAAGTGTACTCGGGAACAAACAGGCGATTCTGAGGACAACCCTTTAGGGACAGGATTCCCGCTGTTAGCCTGTTTGACCTTGGCTTCAATAGGCCAAGTTACACTCCCTATCACTCGGGTCTGGCCGCCAGAATGGGACCTGGACTCTTGGGGACTGGCTCAGGATCGTACATTCTGGAGAGTGCATCAGGCTTTCCATTCTGTGAAACCAGGTCGATATGACAGAGTGAACCTTAAATCTACCGAAGAACAAAGCCCATCTGGCCTGCCTAGAGTTCAGACGTTTGACCTTCCTGATGTATTGGAGGGTTCTTGTGATCCGTCCCAGACCAGGAAATCCTGCTCCGCTCCCTCCAACCAGTGCCGCCACTCCTCCAAAGCAATTCCTTCACCGCCAACAGTTCTCGATTTCCCACGTCGTAATTCCTCTCCGCAGAAGATAGCTTACGGAGAGATAGAGATAAGCACACGGATGCAGTTTGTTGTCCCCCCGCTGACTTCTGGGACAAGTATAGCTCCAACGCCGTCGTTGGAGGCGTCCACTTCCACCACAAACTGTCTGGTGGCGATCAGGTACCGTCAGGATGGGAGTGTGGTGAACCTCCTCTTCAGTTCCAGGAAAGATTTCTCTGCCTGTGGATTCCACACAAACTAACATGGGGAGAGGTAAGGGCATGGAGAGGAGAGGCGGCAATAGCACTGAAATTGCGTATGAAACGTCTGTAAAGCTTGCAAACCCCAAAGAATTGCTGAACTTTCTTTCTAGTGTCTGGTGTTGGCCAATTAGCCACGTCACTGACCTTAGCTGGGTCCATTTCCACCTTGTTAGGGGAAATCACAAAGCCCAAAAATGACACCGAGTTGACATGAAACTCACATTTTTCGGCTTTCACGAACAAATGGTTCGCCAGGAGTCTTTGAAGTACAAGGTGAACATGGTTATACATGAGTATTCTCATCTGGAGAAAAGATGAGAATATCATCGAGATACACAAAACAGAAAAATATTCAAGGAAATCTCTTAACACATCATTAATGAGGGCTTAGAAAACAGCAGGTGCATTACAAAGTCCAAAAGGCATCACCAAATATTCGTAATGTCCTGTAGGTGTATTGAAACCCTGTTTTCCACTCATCTCCCTCCCGGATGCGCACAAGGTGATAAGCATTCCTTAAGTCAAGCTTGGTGAATATCTTGGCTCCCTGTAACAGATCGAATGCCGTAGATATGAGTGGAAGGGGATATCTGTTCTTAACTGTGATCTGATTTAGCGGACTGTAGTCAATACAGGGCCTCAATGTCCCGTCCTTTTTCCCCACGAAAAAGAAACCTGCCGCTGCTGGGGATGAAGATGTCCGAATCAAACCAGCTTTGAGTGAAGCATCGATATATTCCTTCATGGCCTCCCTTTCTGGCCCAGAAAGTGAGTACAACCGTCCCTTGGGAATAGTAGAGCCCGACAGAAGGTCTATGGGACAATCGTACGGTCTATGGGGTGGCAAAGAAGTAGCTCGTGTTTTATTAAACACCTCCTTGATGTCTAAATAACACCGGAACTTTAGCCAAATCAGGAAAGTCAGAAGGCTTAGAAAAAGTGTCACTGTTATTGTCTGACCCCTGCTTAGGGTTACTAGATCTATGCCATTTACTCAACCCTGTCTTACTGGTTTAAACATGAACGAGAGCACTCAACTCCCCACCCTTTAACCCCTTCCTGTCCGCCAGTCAACGTGAGGGTTGGTGTTTAACAAGCCACGGGTACCCCAAAATGAGAGGATTGTTGAGCAGAGTTAAATAAATGAAAACTTATTTGCTCACGATGTTCCTGATCTATGACTAATACCATGGCTCAGTGCGATGAGTAATAGTACATAAAAGGCGGCCAGTCCAAAGCAGCATAGCCTCTAAGGGTTGATCTAAAAGAACAACCCTTTAAGTTTAACCTTTTAGCACAACTCCAGTCTAACACACGTCTCATCAGCCCCAGACTCGACTAATTGCATCCTGAGTCATAGTATCAGTCACCAAGTTTGATTTGTACCTGCATTAACCTTTCTGACTGGAGATTCGACGGATAGGAAGTCACTCGGCTCACCAGCGTCTTACCTTTCCCGCTGATTGAACCTGATCTTTTCCGCGAACAGACTGCCGAAACATGCCCTGCTGCCCGCAGTAGAAGCATCGCCGCTCCCGTAGACGGCGCTGACGCTCCTCCGGAGTGAGTCTGGCTCTACCGAGCTGCATCTGTTCCTCCGCGGCGATAGGGGGCGCTGGTCGCTCTGGAGATGACGACTGGGAATTCCTCTGCCAAGCGTAGTATTCCCTCGGTAATTCCTGTCTGAAAGGTGGAGTGGATCCTGTATTCCTTCCTTTCTCCCGATTTCTTTCAGCTAGACGTTGATCAACCCGGATAGCCATGGCGATGAGTGAGTCCACATCTTCAGGCAGCTGTAATGGAGCCAACTGATCCTTTATGGGATCCGCTAATCCATGCAGGAAGGCATCAAAGAGAGCGGCGGAGTTCCACCCACTCTCCGCTGCCAAAGTACGGAACTCGATTGCGTAATCCATCACTCTCCTCTGCCGCTGCTTAATGTTCACCAGGGCTCTCGCTGACTCTCTCCCGGGTGATGTCAGATCAAAAATCTTGTTCATGGTATCCAAAAACAGTCTTAATGACTGACAAACAGGCGAGTTCCGGGACCACTCCGCTGTTGCCCAGGCTTCCGCTCTCCCCGTCAGATGAGAAACAATAAAAGCTATCTTAGCTTGATCGTGGGAAATGCTGCGGGCTGGTGTTTGAAGTGGAGATCGCACTGCACCAGGAAAGGGCGACAGTTTCCAGATTCTCCGGAGAATTTCTCTGGCGAGACGAGGCGGATCGTAGGCGAATGTACGGGGACTTGAACGGGAATATCAGCAGACCCGACCCCCGCTGGACCGGAAAACTGTGCCGCAGGAACACCAGGATTTGCCACGAGGTGAGTGAGTACTTCCCGCATCTTCTCAGCCAGTAGGTTTATCTCCGTTGACACAGTAGTTTGAAAGTTGTCTTGACGAACAGTCAACCCTGGACCCCTTGGTTAATTGCTGACAGCTGTCCCTCATGTTGGTGAAGGAGTGTACCCTGCGCCTGCAGGGCCGTTCTTAACGCTGCAGAATCGGCTGAGTCCATCTTGTTAGGTTGGTTCGTTCTGACACATGGGCTCGTAAGAACTCAGATGCTCGATTCGTTGCTTTGTAATATTCTTTATTTCAAGAATACAAAGCTTTCCAATCAACTTCTAGGATCTACTAGGACTCTCCAAGAATCTCTAGGTTCTACTAGGTAGTGCAAAAACAGGTCTATGGACTACAGGCATGGACATGACGAAAAGACAAGACGAACCAACACCAGACAAAGGGAGAGGCGGACAAATATACACTTTAGGTAATGGGACACAGGTGGACACAATAGGGGCGGGAAAACAACCATCAGCCTAGCAGTGCCACACGGACAGGAAGTGCCGACACCTGGAGAGAGAGAGAGCAGAGCATTAACATCAACAGACAGATAGACAAAACACTAAACCCTTACAAGAGGACTCTTTAAAGTAGAGACACTATATACTGATATACACCTGAACATCAACAGGAGAGAACTCTTTAAAGTAGAGACACTACAGGTTAGCTAGCCGTTATGGCAAACCATTAGAAATGATGCCGTATTTATTTATCATACCTAACTGTCATTACAAATATCATTGATGAAAACAAATGTACACGAGTAAGAACAAGTTTGTCATCTTAGAACAATATTAAAAATATATTCCTCCTTTCATGACATGGATATAGATACGCTTTAATATCTTGCCACTTTGATTAATGCAACTCCTTACATTAGGTATCATTCATAATTCTTGCTCCCCTCTGCAGCTGGTCAAAAATGATTGGGGTAATTGAGAAGAAGAAGAAGAAGAAGAAGAAGAAGAAGAAGAAGAAGAAGAAGAAGAAGAAGAAGAAGAAGAAGAAGAAGCAGACAAGAGAGAGAAAGAAAGAAAGAAGAAAAAAGAAGAGACAGAAGCAAAGAAGAAAACAGAAGAGAAGAAGAACGAAGAAGAAGAAAAGAACGAAAGAAGAAGAAAAAGAAGAGAAAGAAGAAGAAGAAGATAGAAGAAGAAAGAGAAGAAGAAGAGAGAAGAGAAGAAGAAGAAAGAAGAAGAAGAAGAAGAAGAAGAAAAAAGAAGAAGAAGAAGAAGAAGAGAAGAAGAAGAAGAAGAAGAAGAAGAAGAAGAAGAAGAAAGAAGAAAGAAGAAGAAGAGAAGAAGAAGAAGAAGAAGAAGAAAGAAGAAGAAGAAGAAGAAGAGAAGAAGAAGAAGAAGAAAGAAGAAGAAGAAGAAGAAGAAGAGCTTACATTATGATACTATTTAATGAGAGTAGTAAATCAGTCAGATGTAAACCGAACACCATAGGAGGGAAAGAAGATGTTACAATTATTGAGAATATATATTTTTAATTTGATAAATTACCGGTCGTCCTTCATATGCGAGTTTGACAGCATATTGATTTATGTTTATGGATTATGATTGTTTTCTACCCTAGATATCCAGCGCAGCTACACTGGAGGAACGACATGCATCAATCCACAGAAATTCCAGCTTGTTGCAGACTGCCGGTTGCTTGCAGTACCCTGATGGTGTGGATGGCAAAAACGCAATCATAAAGGATTTCATGCAGTGGTACATCATTTACCGTTTTGCCAGACGAAGGTAATGTTTCTGCACCGTTTAACCTAAGTTCAATATATTTTAATTGTTATCGAGTCAAACACATCACCATTTAGATGTTCAAGCAAGGTTATCATTTATATTAGCACCATTCAGACACAAAGCAATTCAAGTGCTTTCAGAAAATACAAAAATTGCATTTAAAACATCATTAAAATTATTAAAAGCAGTTTAACGTGTATTGAAGCTCGGAACAAACATTTAAAGATAAGAAAAGCCTAAATCAAGCGTTCTATGACCAATTGTGATACCAAGGCGATTGAGGGTTTACAAGGGTAGAGTTGCAGCTATCGATTCACTGGACAATCCTGCATTTGGAGATCAGTTTATTATCAGTTTAGTTACTTTCACAGAAGTTATTCTGACTTTATTTAATATATGTTATTGGTCTTGGTCAAACATTTAAATATGAAACAGAAATATGTAAAGATTAATGATTGATTTACTTTACTGCATGTAAAACCCAGAGGTCATTAAGAAATGAAGTAGATCTACAATTGGTTCTAATACTTTTTTCAGATATTGTTACTAACCTGGCGATAGGTGATCGTAGATTGATGGGTCTTTGTGTCTACTGTTTCCTAGATTCAAAGACGGACTTGAAGCCTTGGATGTGATTCATGCTTTGGAGCAGCATGGAAGTGTTTTCAGAGCTTTTATGTGCTGTGTGGTAGAGCTGACTTCTGCCACATTGGAGGAAGTCTTTGAGGTTCAGCACAGCAGCGAAAAAGGAAGCTCGAGACGACATGAGGAAACCAGGGTGCTGGGATTTTGAAAAGACTATCTCCTTGAAAAAGAAGGTTTATTTGAGTTCCAACATTGTTCACATCTTAAAATAATTAGCTATTAATGGCAGTTCTATCAATCTTGATATTTAAAAAAAACAAAACACCGTAATACTACTTTTTCTTCTCAGAAAAACGAACAGGACTCCTCCTCAGTGACATCCTGATGTTCTCAACAGGATTAAACACCCTGCCACCATCTGGAATCCAGCCGAGACTCCAATTGTTTTTTCACCGGACATCTCGCTTTCCAATCGGCAGAACCTGCTCAAACACAATATAAATACCAATGTCAAGCACCTACGAACAGTTTGAAAGCAACATGGACTTTGGAATCCAAAATTCGCCTGGTTTTGGACTTTATTGAAAGCTGGGCTTACAATTTACAAATTAGCCATGTTCTTCATAGTTATATAGTTCGCAACACAAGACTCCCAGGTCAAGGGTTGCATTAGACCACTCGTTCTTTGAAGGTTCTCAAAGTGTTCCTGGAAGTGGTCGTCTCCACATGGACTGTTGGTCGAGTCCAGAACAAACTGGCCCAAGTCGTCTTGTGGGACTGGGAACCCACAGTCAGTTCCACCGTACCTGGATGTGCAATATGTTCAACAGTTATTATTCACATGTACAAAATTGTTCTTGAAATGTTGTTTTGTTGCACTTCTTTGAAAATTAAAAAGTTACTGTCACTTAATAGTAGACATTATTTGAGTAATAACTGACTGACTGAGGTGAACAGATTATGACACAATCTTGATTTATAGTGAAAAATGTACTGATTTTTTTTCTTAGAATTTTAGGCAGTTACTAAAAATAAATCTGAACAAAATTGAGAAATATGTTTAATTGATAGAAACAAACCTGTGTGGCAGGTTGTACATGACATCTGGTTTCCCTTATCGACAACGAGACTGGTTTACAGGTCTGATGATATGCGTGTTCCACTTTTCCCTGCATTCGTCAAGGTCCCTCTGTAGCACACCCATGAAGACAAACCGCACTAGGCATGTGTGCACATGACTGCCACTGAAGTGATGTTTTTCTCTCAGGTCATTCATGAGATCCATCCAAAATTGAGACCTGAAGAAACAGATTCAAATGAGAGCTTTTTTTTAATACATTGATGATTTCCATGTAAAGGGATTAAAAACAAATATAACAAATAACAGTAAACCTGTGGTATCAAATAGTCATATTTCTAAGAACTGTATTAAGGAACAGAGATAAAGGGGTAATCTGTGTTTTAACTGATGATTCCGATCAATTACATTAAAAGGAAATCAGCAACCACACTAGGCATACCATGTTTTGGCTGTGCCTGTGGTGCAGAGTTTAGTTGTAAACAATTATTGTAGGAGATCGGAACTAATACACTGAAAATATAATTACATTACTTTTTATAGATATACTATGTTCACTGTCAAGGATGTACAAAAAAAAGAAAGAAGCACCACACCTCTGTTTTCTGAAGTACGACCACCAGCTTTCAATTCTTTGATTTGCTGTTGAAGAGCCATACATGTGACTGGCAGCCCCAGCAAAATGGTCAGTGTGTCTTGATCTTAAAGCACACGGGATGGCTGCCATTGTGCCGTTTTCAGTGCCGCAGTCTGTACGCAGCCTCATAGGTATGACTCCATGCTCTGTGACACAACGTATGTAATTTTGAGCAATGACCCCAGGGTCATTGTTTGTTGCTCCACACTTCAACCACAATACTTTTCTGGAGTAGCCATCAATACATCCGCTGATGGCCAAACCATAGGGCTTTAGCTTATCATAGCCATCAACATGCCAGACGTGGTTGGGTCCTTCAGAGCTGTATGTTCTTCGTACAAATCGTCTATTACTGCGAAGTTGAACTCCAGAGGGGTCAAGCTCTCTCATCAAGTTCATGACCTCATCCCTTTTTACAGTAAGGGAGTGCTTTTGCCGCAATGTCTGACACATCGAGTGGTAACCGTAATGCTGGCCAGATCCATTTAACTCCTCTTGAATGGCAGCACGAACATTAGCCAGAGGGGAGTAGTTTTTTTTCCTTGATAATGAAAGACTTTTTAATTTACTCTTTAAAGTACACAAACTCATTTTTACATTGTGGGTAGTTTCCAGAAAATCCCAAATGTCATCGTAGCTGAAGCCATCGTGAAAGTGTTTCCGAATGAGGTCCTCTTCTGTGGGGCTGTCAGATGCTGATTGTAAAATAAAAAAAACACAAGGAGAAAAAGAAGAAAACATCATGTCATGGCTCACTGTCTCAAAATCTGATTCTAAATGTATAATGTTCTCTATAAAGATATAACTAATACACAATTATGATGTATAATATAAGCTGTTTTGTGTATTTAATGCGTTGGTCTACAATGTAATGATGGCTTCTACATATTTCACATAAACAGACAATGAAAAAATGTGTCCTTCATGCTGATAACTAGTGTATGCATCTCCAATTAGCATTCTAAACAGAGCAGAGTGGTGAATCCTTATTTCTTGCATTTGAAACAGATACAATAAAAAAAGGGAACTTACTGTTGTGTTCAACTTCTGCCACAAACTGTACATGTTGCCACAGGAGCCACAGAACACTTGAACTGTCCCCAGATGTTGGCCACAGAAAGGACACAACATGGCAGCCTGAAAAGACATACATTGATGTAGTGAATCCATTTAATCAAGTCAATCAAAAACACATAGTCTAAATAGTGGTTAGCTAAATAAATAGAAAGATACATGATGTTCACCGTTGAATCTGTGTTCTCTCTCGCTCCTTGAATGTCTTCTCTATATTTGTTCTAATGCACACTACTACCTGTCATTACTTTGTCCCTCTTCACATTTTGTCACTTTCTCTCTCCTCTCTCTCTCTCTCAATTCAATAGCTTTATTAGCATGACCATAGTTACAGGTAATTGCTAAAGCTCTGTATAGTTGCAACATCTATACACAAATACATACATATAAACAAACTGCTAAGAATTCAAATGTCCCTTTTCCGCGGTACTCACTATGGCCCGTGTTATTTGCCTGCACTTGATCTGTCATCTCTTTTAACAATGTTCTTCCCTCACTTTCTCTTCTCTTCACGTGAAGCTCTCCTCTCCTCAGCTGGTGTAGTAGTTAGGCATGCTAACGCTAGCTATATAAATATGACGCTCTATGTATCAAAACAAAACGTACCTTCTTATATCTTTCTCCACTTAAATTAACTTTCTTTCCTCCCGATTTCCATCACTCTTGTTCGTTCTCTCTATGTCTGGTGGTCAGACATCAATCTGTTCCACCTAGCGCGCCCCCTAGAGGCCTGGAGCACTTCCGGAATGTTTTTTAAAAAAAATGTGTTTTGGGATTTGTACGTAATTTGGACTTTGCATATCGTTTTGGTATTTGCAGCGTTTTTTTGTTGCGTTTGTTTTCGGGGTTTGTTTGTTTTTCATGTCATTATTTGCAGGTGTTTCCTGCTTATGTGTGTGTTTTTGGCCGTTGTTTAGCGTTTGCACCTGCCGGCCACCGTACAGTCCCTATCGGCCAATATATGAACTGCAGTGTGTGGCACTTCCGTATTGGCGTCCCGGCTCTTCCCCAGAATTTGCCGCTTGGGTATAATGAGACAATAACAGGCGACAGATGCGGACACACACACACAAATATATTTATATAAATATATACAATTTAAAGTATGAGAGCTCAGCACTCTCATAATAACGTAACACAATCAGAGACTGGATATACCCAGAGCCATATAATAGAAGAGTTATGACATCTCCGTTCACTCCAATGGACCACTTTTTTACAGCAATGGCGGATCGTGGAGCCTCTCAATCGTTCCCCGGAAGTTAGCGCCAAGGCTAGCAGAGCTGTGGAGTTGCAGCATAATAACCGTTCGTGACGGACTTTTAAAGGTAAGAAGAAGTTTAAAGATGTATATTGCGGATATTATCAGTACATCTGATTCAATTGAACATGTGTATTAAAGGATGTCAGTGGATTATCCCTAAATCAGTAGATTTAGGGAACGTTTACATATAACAGATCAAGCTAGGATACCGAAGCAAGTTAGCAACACACGTTGAACAGCCTTTTAATTGTAAATTCCGTTCTCTTAATGTCTATTTGGTCCAACGTTGTTGAATTAGAGAAGAGGGGCTTCTAAACGGGATTGTATGCGGGGGTGGAGGGAGTTAAATATTAGATAAATATAACTTTGGTGCGTGTAAGAGTGAGTGTTTTTAGCAGAGCCATATGGTGTCCTTGTGATTATGTTGATTATTACCTGTGTGTATAATGTTGCAGCTCAGCTGATTTGGATTGATGGCAAAGGGAGAGGGACTTAAGTGAGAGTGAACACACAAGTTAAGTTTAATACTACTGTTTTATATAAGTAAGCATACTAAACATGTATTATATCACTGTATTATATAAGTAATCTTGTTAGTAACCGACTGTATTGCAGGTGGAGGGGCAGTGATGTTACAGGTGGAGGAGCAAAACTGCAAGACTGCAAACTCACAAGACAGAGAAATCAAAGTTTGTTCTCCAGAGATGAGGTTAATTTCACTTCAATTTTTTCACATTTTCTAAAGATGTGGAAATGGCACAAAAAAAACGTGAGAGCTGTAACCAAGACAACTGTAACAACAGGAGTAGAGAGCCACCAAGGTTTTTCAAGTCCCTCTCTTACTCCATTTTGCCAACCCAAACTTCCAGGTACATGACGGGACACCTTGCTTGTTTTTGTTGTTTGCGCTCCTCTGGCAGGTGGAGGGCAGTGATCCCTTCCCTTCTTCCCTCAATCTTTGAGACTAATGTAAGTCGAAGACATGGCACTGTAAATGTTCGGACATTTAAAATATTATACCACTTAAAAATAAGAAATATTACTTTTGTTACTAAGAGTTCATACTTATTATACCTGTGTCACCTTTCACACTATCGCTGTGATCATGAGCTATGGGCTTTGTAGATACAGGTCCCGGGGTGGTATATGGTAAAAAACCATATACCTTCCCGGTGCCCACTGCATGCTGCTGTGCCCTGATTGCCTTAAATAAACCCAGCTGTGTGCCCAAATTGACCCATCACCTTCAAAATAAAAGCATTTTAGCTGGAACACAACTTAACTTAAATAATATGGCTGTAAATCAATTAATTCTACAAAACAAAAAACAACAAATAAATACATGTGAAAAATACTGAATAGCTTCCACATGCCGGCCCCTAATTGTGAGAATCACAATTACCCTTATGTAAAACATATAAGGGAGCTATTCTCTCTATCCATGAGCCATAGTGTCTTCTGTGTCACCTTCTCTGTATCCACTGAAAGATAAACAGATGGTAAGAAGACAGGATAGGAACGGAAAATAGATATAATTGTCCATGATCTTATTCTGTGGCCTCCACCAGCAGGCAGATCTTCATCACAGGTCTCTCCACTGGTTTTGGTTTGGATGCACACAGAGCGGACCAATCCTTTGGAGTCAGACTTGGTACTCACAACTCGACCCATCTTCCAGGATCCTCTTGGAGCTGTAGCATCGGCAATGATGACAATATCTCCTGGGGAGAAGTTTCTTCTTGGGGCTGCCCATCTCTGTCTTTCTTGCATCACAAGTAAGTATTCAGATGTCCATCTTTTCCAAAACAACTCTGCGATATACTGTACTTGCTTCCATTTCCTTCTGATGTACAGGTCACTCTTTTCAAAGAGTCCAGGGGGAAAGATGGGTTTTCCCTTCAGCAGAAGAACATGGTTTGGGGTGAGGGCCTCGAGGTCATTAGGGTCATCAGACACTTTTGTGAGGGGTGGCTGTAATGAAGTCCTAAAGCTGAACTGGTCGGACTCCACGCACCATTGCAGTCCAAGTGCTTTTTCCATAGGCAGGTGATCTGTGTCCAAATCCAGCTCTTTCATCTCTGTTGCTCTGATGTCACCTGGGATTGATGTCAAGACACAACGGCTGGTTGTCACCCATTTTTGGAGGTTGAATCCTCCCTGACTACAGAGCAGAGTCAAATCCTTTACAAGCTTAATTGCATCTCCCTCCGAGGCTGTAGACTTCAGGCAGTCGTACATAAAAGTTGCGATTGACTGTTTTGATCACTTCAGGAGGGAAGGGAGCTGCATTGTCCTCTGCAGTTCGCCACAAGGCGTAATTGGCGCAGCTGGGGGACGAAACAGCTCCAAACAAGTGTACCCTCATTCGATATTCTGCTGGTTCCTGGTCAGTGTTGCCCTGAGGCCACCAAAGAAAGCGAAGAAAGTTCACATGTTTATCAGGCAACCGCACCTGATGAAACATGGCCTGGATGTCAGCCATGACTGCGACAGGCTCTTTTCTGAAGTGAATGAGGACCCCCATAAGAGTGTTGTTGAGATCGGGGCCCTGCAAGAGCTGACAGTTCAGAGATGTTCCTTTGTATGAGGCTCCACAGTCATATACAACCCTCAGCTTTCCTTTGGTGGGGTGATGTACTCCATGGTGGGGAATGTACCACACTTTTCCCTCATCTTGTTCCAGCTGTTCAATGAGTACAACTTCATCATAACCTTGAACCAGCATATCATTGATGAATGAGGTGCACTCCTCTTTAAACTTGCTGTTCTTTTCAAATGTCCTCTTCAGGCCTTGAAGTCGCTGCTCTGCAACACAGCGGTTATTTGGCAAGACCGGTTCCTCTTCTCTGAAAGGTAAGTCAATGTAATAATGTCTATTTTTCAGTTCTGTAGTACTTCTCATTATATTCATGAATTTAATGTCCTCTCTTGACATTTCCAATTGCCCCTCTGATGTTTTTTCATTAAAATCATGGTTGTATTGCTTAATGAGCATCTCTTCCAGATGTTCCACAGATATGCGGTTTGTTGTGACAACAGAGCAGCCAGTCTTATCTCTGCCGTTACTTCCACTCCTAAGTGGTCCATTAATGACCCAGCCGACTCTTGTTCTGACTGCGTATGGGCCTTCATCTTGGCTGTTGATCAGCTCCCATGGTTCCATCACTTTTGCTGCATCAGTTCCGATGAGCAAATCACATCTGCATTCAAGTCGTGCAGCTTTATGTTACTCAAGTAAGGCCACTTTCCACATCATCCTGTCGTGGAATGTTCACACGTGACACTGGCATAACTCTTTGGGTTAAGACATTGGGCCATTCAATAAAATCATCCGTATCCATGCCAGACACTTCCAAGTGAGACAATACATTGGTACTCACAATTTTCTTTTGCCCCATTGTTTGCAATAGAATACTGGCTGGCTGGCCACTTAGCCCCAATCTCTTTGCAAGGCTATAAGTGCAAAAGGTACCGGAACTCCCCGGATCCAAAAATGCATAGGTCTGTACAACTCTGTCACTCATTTGGCTTTTCACTTGAACTGCAACAATCGAAAACACAGCATTGCACTCGTCTCCGGCCCCTATATGGCCACATGTTTGAGACTGACCAGATGTTACACTCAGAGGGCTCACAGGTTATTGTGCTTCATTAAAAGGTGTACTTATACCCTTCTGCTCAATGTGAAGGACTGAAGGATGCTTCTGCTGACACACACTGCAATCCAATCGACTCCTGCAGTCTTTGCTTATGTGTCCCCGTTTCAAGCAACCAAAACAAATTCCATGCTCCTTTATGAAATGCATCTTGTGCTTTTGTGTCTTTAACTTAAACTGTGAGCATTGTTCAAGTGAGTGGCTGTTTGTTGGCAGAATAAACAGCATTTGTTGTGACTTTGGGCAGAAAAGGACTTGATCTTATTATCCATGTAGCCTTTGTTTCTTTCTTTCATTGCAGTGACACCGGTGGCAAAGGTGCCCTGTTTCCTATGCCTTGGTTCACTGACAGTGGGGGGTTTGTTGCAGCTGGTACATTTTGAGTCCTGAATATTTCCAAACAGTGAGTCAGAGGCCATTCTAACCTGTTTTTCAACAAAGCTCACAAGGTCAATGAATAGTGCTCTGCAACCACGTCTCTCCTGCAAATCACATGCATGGCTCCTCCATTTCTCCCTCACCTTATAAGGAAGCTTCATCATGATGTTTCTGAGCTTTGATGGCATGTCCAACTCATTCATGTGCATGATTCGCTGTGTTACATTTGAGCATTCCCGTAAGAACAGAGAAAAGGATTTCAGTGATTTGACATCTGGCTTTAACCAGAGGCCAGCTATCAATGTTGTCCATATAAGCAGAAGCACTTTTGTATTCATTTCCAAAATGTTCAGCAAGCAGGGATTTGGCTCTTTGGTATCCTTGAACAGAGGGGAGGTCTCTTGGTTGCCCCCTGGTGAACTGCTCCAAGAAATGTAAACGATCACTTGCATTATCAGTTTTAACCTCAACACAATTTTCAAAGGATCTGATGAAAGAATGATACTGAAGAGGATCACCATCAAATGTGGGTATAT